GAAATGTGTTACAATATGTGAAGTGCCATAAAAATATTTGATAAAAAATTACAAAACAAAAATATTAAAAAAGATAAATTTTAAATAACAGAAATAAATAATATTAATAAAAATACAATAGAAATTAAAATACAGTGAAAAAATTTTATAAAATTTAAAAAATTAACAAAACAACGAAAAAAATTTATAAAATTTAATAAATTCTATTAATTTTTTAAATAAACATTTTTAATATAATTTTTGTTTAAATTTAATAATTTAAAAATAATTAAAAAAAAATTTTATTAAATTATTTTAGCTTACTTTTCTATTTGTAAATCCAAAAAAATATTTTTTTTCTATCATTTTCCAGGATTTTAAGCCCCACGAGCTCCTACAAAAAGTCTATTTGTGATTTTAATTTTTTGTGCTACCCTTTTATATACAAAATACCAATTTTGAAGTGTTTAAAATTCAACGAATTGATTTGTGTGCTCCTAAATATGAGATAATGGGTGCAATTTTCATTATACCATATATAAGAAAGTTATTGTCACTACAGCCGAAGGAATTGTGGATTTTAACTAATTTAAAAGTGGTGAGTTTAAAAAATCCAATTTTTTCGCAAGTAAGATTAATACTTTTGGTAAAAAACTTTAATAAATATATTAATTGTATGTGAAGAAAAAGTAATATGTAAAATTTTTAAACTATTTGAACGTCGGACATAAATACCAGTAACTATTGTGTATCTTACAAATTTATACCTAAACGGGTAAACCCAACAATACTAACTTTTGTAAAAATTTTGACGCTCAAAGTAATTTATAAAAATAATACGAACAGGTGTATGACTTTGCTAAATATGCATAATGTCTATTATATGTCATGTGGCTAAATGTAGGCAACATTTATTTATTTCAACAAGTTTATAAACATTGTCTACATTTGGGCGCTAAATAAAAATTTACTTATGAAATTTGTGCTGAATCTGGGCTTTTTTTTAAAATATACTCAAAAGATATATATATATACATACATACATCCATGTACACATATACCTATTGACTTCACTCCCAAATTCTTGGAGCAATAGAGCTGTTTTGTATCATTTCTACGCCGAAAATGGGTTTGACCCTGATAAACCAAAATCGCAAGTGTGTTTGCCAAAGTCAAATGCCAATATAGAAAATGTCAAAGCTTAAGCTCGTAGTTCACAAAGTTTCGACAAATATGTCTGCATTTACAAATAATAAAAGTCCGCTGAAGCACCACCAAATGCGGTGCGATGGTTTTCTAAATATATACATATCTATATCTATCTCTATCTTTATCTCTTTCTCTATTTCTATCTCTATCTCCCTCTCTATATCTACCTCTTCGTCTGTATCCTTCTAAATCCCATCTCTCATATATTATATATCTCCATCTTTGCCTCCCACTTTCCCCCCTCCATCTTTAATAAATTAAATTCTGCTGGCAGGGGTTTTAAATTATTCAAATAATTTTCCTTTCATTATTTTTTCAGCCCCACATAATAGTTATATTCCTATAAGTTTCAGACCCAGTCGATTTTTTTCTATCTAATCATTTACGACGGCTTTCTAATTTTTGAGCTCAACGAGTTCTGATAAAATTTTCTGTAATTCTTTATTAACGTTAAGCCAATAATGCTACATTCACCCACTGCAAACTCTCAAAATAAGTCATTTGTCGCTAATGGAGATTAAATGTGTAATTACTTTTAAATACTCGCAACATTTGCTCATTCATTTAATGCGACAACCAATTTTCACCTCCAACACCTCGAAGCGCAATTATTTTAAAACAATTAATTTTATAATTGTCAACCCTTTTATGCATTTCACACGGCTACAAATGTATGCGAATGCGAAAGTAAATAGCAAAATTCATTATGGGTGCCGCGCCAATAGTTTATTAGATTGAAAAAAGCACACCCAAACTAAAAATAAAATGGAAAAATTAATGTAATTCCCGTTGCGGTTGAATATTTATGAAGGACCCGCTACAGATCTGTGCGTCTAGCACAACACTAAGGTGCTGACACTACATAGTATCGTGATTTTATGATAATTCGCGAAGGCAACAAGTTTGGCATGCGCTGTGCATGCGATTAAACGTGTACGGCATAAGGCTATGTGCATAGTACAGCGGTGACCAGTGACAACATAAAGAAAGTACAGGAAAGAGTTGGGTTGTTAAGAAGAAGGCAAACAAATGAAATAGTGCAGGGAAAAACTGATCTTTTAAGCGTCTTGTAATAGTGAAAGAACTTATGTATGAGCCCAGCTTTCGCTGCTAAGGATGACTATATTACACAATATTTAAATTTTTGCTGAAACTAGCTATTTTGGTATAGTAGAAGTTATACGCGGTCCTCAACATTTTTATAGACCCACTTTACATATTTTGGGTTTAAGCCTACTCAATTTTTAATTCCAACAGACTAGAGAAAAAGTGATTTAAAGAAATTTAAAATATTCTCTTAAAATGCTGACAATGACTCAAATGAAGTCTGTGTTGAAGACGTTACACCGTAGATCCAATTTTTCTACCATAGTCGGTCTTGTATCGTTAAAAATTTTAAAAATTGTTAAAAATTCGTTTTCAAGTGATCGGTGATAGCTGGTTCATCAGTAAAGACCATTATCTTTACAAAAACTATTATAAATTTATGACATAAGTGGCCAGTCGACTGGTTAATTTCTCGAGATCATATGGCCAACAGAACATCTTCCTGATTGAGTGAAATTTTCCAAAAATGTAGCTTATGACTGACTGATATTGAGGAGGGGGAAAAAAATCTCTGTATTGAAAGCACCATTGCCTCACTCCCAGAAAATGATAAAAGGTAGAAGTTTGCGCTCAGTTTGCAAACCTCAGCGTTCAATAGTTATTTCAATGTGTAAGAAATTTTCGCGATTTTTAAATATTTCTCTGATGTGAGTCTTTGCATGGCAATTTTTCAAATCATACCGAACACAAATGTCAAAAAGAAATATTTATTTTAACAGCTTTCGCTGTAGGAAATTCTAAATTTCTATAGCTATCCATCTAGGAAATTCTATACTTTCAAAACTGGTATGACAACCAGCCCAGACAAAAATTCGATACTTTGACAGCTGGTTTAACAGATATCTCTCTAAGAAACTCTGTACTTTGACAGCTGGCCTGACAACCATCTCTTAAGGATATTCTATACTTTGACAATTATCCTTTTAAAAAATTAAATGTTTTGACAGCTGATTTGATAGCTATCTCTCTAGGAATTTCTGTATTTTGACAGCTTTCCCTCTAGGAAACTCTACACTTTGGAAATAGGTTTGACAGCTATCCCTCTAGGACTATCTTTTTGAGAAATTCTTAATCCTATTATAGTCCGCTATAAGTTTTGCACCTTAACTTGTCACGTCTGTGCTCCGCCTTTCACTATGCACTTAGCCTTAAGCAGTCATTCTTTCTGTCTTATTATTACTATTTGTTTTTCTTTCTGCGATCGCTCACCTGCTTTTGCGCCCCACCACCTTATTGGCAATGTAATAAATTTTTCAAATTTATTTCACTATTAATCTAATTGAATAATTATTTTTTTATTGCCTTTGAATTAAACACGAAGCGCTAACGCTGTGGTGCACAAGAGACTTAAGCTGGGCGGGGGCAGGTGTGGCTAAGCTGGAATTTCTGATGACATTTACGACTGCACAGCGCGCTAGTTCATTAAGCGCCAAGTGCTATTAGCTTTTAATGGTGGAGCAATAAGCCATAACATCACTTACTATATATTGGTGGCTTGGTGGTGGTCCCCGGGCGCATTAAACTAGCAATGCCATAAATTGCTTTGACATTACAAATATTTACATTGTATAATTAATATCGTGCATATGCAAATACAACAATAGCACAATGTGCATTATGTAAGCGCATTTAGTTTAGTTTATTTAATTAATTTTTTATTTTTTTATAAATTATTTAATTATCGACAATTAAAGCTGATAACTGTATAATTTGCTCAACATTTTTCCATTGCAGTGTTAAATTGTGTGTAAATACCCTTTGCGGTGGTTGGCTGTAGTCGAAGTGCAGTAGAGCAGTAGCAACAGCAGCAAAAAAAATTACAACAACAACAAAGAAAAGTATAAAATATATGCTTATTATTAATTATAAATATCACTACACGAATAAACAAGCGTATACATGTGTAGTCCAACATACGTACAAACATTTGTAGTATGTCAGGCTGTGTGCGCGTGTGTTAGTGATAAATGAATAGAGCAATAAATTTAAAAGTTCAATTGATTTCACATTCAGCAACAACGGCTGTTGTCACCATTTAGCCACGCTGTCAAGCTGTCAACATTGTCAAGTGGCTGTACGTTTTCATACATATACATATGTAGGTATGTATGCATGTACATATGTGTATAGTGTTTGCGCGCGAAATGTTAAAGTGCCACTGACAAGGGTCATTCTTGGGTGAAACAGCAATAAATTAAGCAAATTTACAACAAAAAATTTGATAAATAAAAACTTTTGCAAATCATAAAAAGATCTTCACGGTTTAGTTGTTTGAAAATAAGATAAAATTAAAAAAAAATATATTTTCGACAAAAGCATTTCCGATCAAAAAAAATTTACTTACAAAAAAAATTTTTTTTTTAAATCCAAAAACATACTTTTCCAAACAAAAAATATTAAAAAAAAAAATTTCCAAAATAAAATTTTTTCAAAAACGTGTTTAAAAACAAAAAAAATTTTTTTCGACAAAAAAAAATTGACTAAAAAAAGTTTTTTTTTTAAATCGAAAAACATACTTATCTAAACAAAAAAAATATTAATATAAAAAAAATATTTTCGAAGAAGTGTTTTTACGAAAAAAATTCCTTAAAATGATATTCAAAAATATACTTATTTTATAAACATATAATTTTCCAAAAAAAAAATATTTTCGAAATAAAATTACTTAAAAAAATATTCACCAACAAAAAATTTGTAACAAAACAATTTCGAAAAAGCTATCTTTTCATCGAAAAATTTTGAAATAAAGTCTTTACGAAAAAAATTACTTAAAAAAATATTTACTAAATAAATAAAATATTTACAAGCGAAATATATTCGATATAAAATTTAATTAAAATCTTCCATCACAAATTTCACCGTCAAACGCGTCTAGTGTAAGTTTGTACCCGTTTTTAATTATCTGCCTCTAAATTACCAAGTGAAAGCAAATAAGTATTATTTGTGTATTGAATTTGTGTGAAATGCTGAAAATGAAGTGTCTGCTAAATGCGAAAATCAATAACACGATCAGCATATTATTGCTAATGTTGTTAATTGCGTTAAATTCGCGTTGTGTCGATTCGAGCTGAATTGTGCTAAATAATTGTGTTGTCCCCAACAGTTATAGATTAACACATTCAATTGTTGTTTTTGTAATAACGCAACTACGAGATTACCAAATATTTTGGATACTTTTTATATGTCTAAGTGGACGCAGCAAGTACTTGCAGGGGAGCTTATAAAGTGCAGTAAGGTGAGTGGCCATACTATTTTTTATTGCTTTTATTTACATTTATTTATTTTGTCAATTTTGTTTTTGGAAAAATTTTGGAGCGTATGTAAAGTTATAAAATCATGGCAACCCTTTTCAAGTTTTTTTTTATTATTTCGATTTTTTATATTCTAAAGCTAAACTTGGACAGATCCTGACTCAGCATGTAATGAAATTTGTTGGGTTGAAATTCAGTAAATCTAGTACTAAAATAAAGTGCTCTTGAAACTGACAACCTGAACCTGATCACGTCTGTCTTTAAATCTACGCTCTGGTAAACTCTACAAAAATTTTAACCAAGCATTAACACAACAACCGCAAAAACATTAACTACCTTTTCCACATAACCTTCGATTATTTATTACTAAACGGAACTCTTTCAAGACATACTTGCCACCTGTGCCACTAGGCCAACGAACTTGGTGACGAGGTTGAACGACAAAACCTCTGCGTTAAATAAATTTTCACCCTTATTAATAATTTTGGTGCCAGCTAGTCGTAATTTTTCCATTTATTAAAAATGAAATGAAAGAAATGACAAATAAATTAACATAAATTAATTCACACTTAAATGTAAAGACATATGCAGAGCATATTCGAAATCTAAATATGGTTAAATATACTTGTATATGTACATATGTATAGAAATAGATCACAAAAGTTGTGGTGTGGTAATTAATATAAGCGAAAGAGCTGCAATGAACATATAAACGGAACGATCAAAATGATGTTCTCGTACTTTATATTTTTTATTTGCCAATATATCTTCACGAAATTTAGTACAGAGTATTACCTAGGACAACGCTATATTCTTCGAACAAACCGTTCAAATCGGACCATTATTGCATATAGCTGCCATAGAAAGTATCCGATCAGATTGAAATTGACGTTTTTTCTTGAATTAGGTATATAAATTACATATCACTGTCTTGAGTTCGTCTAGTTGTAGTTATTAGAGGTTTTTTACAACTGCTCTTAGCCAGGAGCTGGGTTCGAAACCTACGTCGACAAACAGCAACAAAATTTTTCGAGTGTTCTTACTGGGTATTAATCTATATATATATATATATATATATAATTTTTTTTTTTTTTCATATACTACAAGTATAGTTTCGTCTTCAACTTGTGACATATGTATATTCCATATTACTTGTAGTATATGAGTAAATTATATGTATGTATATATATAAACGATATCTCTATAGTACTCGTATAATCAGAAGATATGCTACTTCTGACTAACTAAGCGTTTGGATCGAACTTATTCACATATTTTGCTTTTAATTATGAGCAAAAGTTTTATTATATACGTATGTGCCTTTTTCAGCATATGAGGTGTGAAATGGATAGCTAAAAGATATAAAATATGCAATGCTTGTCAATATAATAGTATGTGTGAAATATATGCGGATTATAGCTGAATTATGTATTGTATGTATATATACATATATCAGTATATGTACTGTTAGTTATGCGTGTATACAAAATATGAAGGTCTACTACTTTCAGTTAAAATTTTGAATACAAAAAAACATTTTTTTGAACCTGCTTGCAATGTAGTGTATGCTTCCACACACATATAAGTATACTCATAGAGTGATAAGTAAATACTTGTATATTATGTATGTATAAATACGATGGTAGCGTAAAAAATAACAGTAAAGAGAAATTAAAGAGCATATACACATACATATAAGTTGACTTATTACTGTATTTATTTAGCAATGAGCGTAGTCAAACATTTTATTTACAATCTAATTAAATTTTTGATATCGTAAAAACAGGTTACTTATACGTCATGTCGAACAAATCTTGAAAATTAGTATATCAGCAGAGTCTTTCTGTAAGCTTACACGTATGTATGGGGAGATCTTGAAAGTGCTTTTCTTGTATTGAATAATTATAAAAAAAAAACAAGGAAAACGTTAACTTCCCTTCACAAATAAAAAAATTCTTTGCAAGATTGCACTATTGCCTTGGATAATAACCCCTGCCGAATTTCGTGAAGATATCTCTTCAAATGAAACGGTTTGCCATACAAGCATCGTTCAATTTGTATGACAGATATATGTTATAGTGACCGAACCAAACAATTTCTCCCGTGCTTACACCGCCGCTTCGGGCAATGATCCCTGCCAAACTTCGTAAAGTTAACTCGTCAAATGAAAAAGTTTTTCATACAAGGACTTAAGTTCGATCGGTCAGTTTGTATGGCAGCTATATGCTGTATTGTGTCGATATAAATAAGATTACACCGTTGCCTTGGAAAATAATCTGTGTCAAATTTCGTGACGATATCTTGTCAAAGAAAAAAGTTTTCCATACAAGGACTGGGTTTTGTTAGTTCAGTTTATGCCACAGTATTCCCCTTTTTGGGGAGAAAAAAGCATGTGCCAAAATTTCAGATCGATGTCTCAAAAACTCAGAGACTTTTCGCTTTTATACAGATAGACGAATGGACAGACAAAAGGACATGGCTAAATCGACTCGGCTCACTACGTTAATCATTAATATACATATATACAAGTATGTATACTTTTAAGGTCTCCGACGGTTTTTTCTGGGTGTTAACATACAAAATTCAAGAAAAACTGAAAATAACCTATACAGGGTATAAAAAGTCTTTCTTCATCAACTACTAGCGAGCTTATACATGTGAGCTTACATTCCATTCCAACTGCCATTTTACCATAAAATAAACGCTTTCAAAAATATTGACCAAGGAACATTGATTTGTTGACTATGTCACTGCTTAAAAAAACCACTTGGCATCTCAATCGTGGAAGCATGCTATCGACGAGAGCAGAGCAACAACAGAGCTGAGGAGACTCGGGAAGCAAGTGGTAGACGTCATGTACTAATTCTTTGCATGGAAATGTATACTGTCAAACATAAAACGGTGCCAATATTTGTTGTGAGTCAAAGCATAAGTTGTTGTTGTAGCATAATCTGTTGCTCAAATAAATGATGCTGCTGACGATGATGTTGCCTCAGCATTTTAACGACATCAGTTTAGACAGCGATGATTGCACTATTTAACTGTCATTGTTATTGTAAAGAAAACTTTACGATAGGTTAATGTTCGGAGGATTATACTTATATACATAAATGTTTGTGTTTTGACTATTTATATACGTTATGTGTGTTGTAGTTGTTAACTTAGTCACACAACATTTTTATTTAATAGTTTTACATTTGCTGGCGTTTTATAGCATACTTTTTGTTGCCTTTCTCAATCAGTTTGAGAAGAAAGCTACAGCAAGTCGGATACGTTATATCAACATATATCTGATTAAACTGCTGACAACAAGAAAACAGCTACTCAAAGTTTACTAATTCATGCTACTAACAGATCGAGATCTTTAAGTTGGGTGCTATTGGAAAAACGTTCGAAAAATGTCCTAAAATTAAGATCTCAAGATCCCTGAGTGGTTCATGAACACGACTACTTTTTACCAAACCAGGTAACGTAGGTTCGTTTTTCAGGCACAATTATTTGACAAAAAAACTGAAGACGGTTCTTATTTTAAGTGCTTCAACAACGAACTGCTTCACATGAATTTGGAAACGACTTTTTTGTTTTATCGGATTTTTTATTTTATTTTTGCATTATCAAAGGAAGTAAAAGGTTTGGCCATCGTCAAAGCACTTACATTCTTCATTGGCTTCCTATCTTCCTTTTTATCAATAACAGGTTTGTGAAATATTTTAATTGCTCGCTCCAAAAAGTATGCTAGAGAGACTTACACTTATGTAAGTTTAAACTTTTTTAAACATTCTAAGTCAGGTTGAATAGACTCATATTGAAACGGAACTCAACAAAGCTAGCTCTAAAGTAAAGAGCTCTGATCTCTTTCTGCTAACCCGTTAGCTCAATATCAGAGGAAATCTTCGTTGTTCATAACAAAGTCTTAGAAAAAAGTTCATTCATCTTGATCTCACCGTCTTTTCCGCGGGTTTCCCTAAAGGTTTGGAGGTTGTTTGACTTCAATTTAATGAACTTATCTGAATCCAGTAGTCTGCAACGTTTTTTTGTAGGATTGTTAAATCTCTTTGTAAGAGATGTTAAGAAAATATATATTTAAAGGGAGCAGACTCATACGAGTATAGTACGATATTCTTAGAACCACTATCTTTTAGCAACCTCTTGAACCAAGTAACTTATTCTACAAACTCAAAAGCTGTCACCATTGCAACGGACAACATGCAACACTGACACTGAAAAGCCAAAAGCAACAACACGAGCAATATTCGTGATCACCGCAACTGGATTACCGCTGATTTAATTGCCAGCATATATTGTTGTTGTTATTGTTGATCTTATCGCTGTTGCCGTTGCTGCTACCGGCTGTCCAACGTTATTCTTGTATCTTTGGCTTTGATTTTGATTTTTTTTCGCATGCACGTACATACACATCGGCACACACACACATATATATGCTTGTTTATAAAATGCTGATGACCAGTAGCAGTCGCAACTGAAAATTATTGCGCATCTCGTTATCGCACCTGTAGATCGAGTAGATAAATAGTTGCTTGTTTAACTAGTTGTTGATGCCGTTGTTATCTGTTGTTGTTGTTTGTTGTTGATTTTTTTGTTTGGATTTTTGCGATTTTTTGGCGTATTTCTGGTATTTATTTGCTGTTGTTGTTAATTTTTAAAGTTTTATATTGGTGGTTACGTAATTGTTGTTATTTTTTAAGTTTTAGTTTCCTTTTCACTTTTTTAAATAGTGGCTTTACAGCGGAATCTTACACATCCTTGAGCTATTAATATATAATAATGTGCTGTGATTAAATCAGATGATCCTTAAGAACCAAGTATTTCGGTAAACGTAGAATCTTCATATATATCTTGTAAAATGAAATTAACTGTTAGCATAGTTCATAAAAATTGTATCTCCACTCGTTTTTAGGCATAACTAATGTATCGAGAATCAGCCTGAAAACCTTAACTAAACTTTAGACCTGGTAGACCAGCG